GATTATAATTGAATAACTGTTTTATTGATTTACTAAATCTCATTTAGCTTTGTATATATATGTTCAGTTACTTATTTAATTATCAGTATAGTGAAATTCTGAACAAAATTTTGATTATTGTTGTAGATACAACAGTTACAACTTCTCCATCAGAAGACGAAGAAGATAATGCAGAATTTTATGATGCACAAGAATCTGATACTTTTACCTTAAGTATACCTGGTGTTCCAACAAATAATTCAAGAGATCGAACTGATTCGCAAGGTAGTGACGATGGCTCTAGTTCAGAAGGAGATCAGACACCTTTACCTTTGTCAGAGACTGCTACTACAAATTCTTTTCGCATTGTGACCGATTCTACAGTGGTAACTCCAGTCACTGCTCCTAATACTGACAATCTGGATAATGTAAGTGATTCTTATTTTCCATTTTTCAAATTTTAAATTAATTTTTATCTTATATGTAATTGTAATTAATTTTTATCTTATATCTTGATATATTTCATGTCAGACAAATTGGGAATCCAATAATGGCTGCACTGGCAGCACCGGGGTAACAGGTTATAGGCGAAAACGGAGAACTAGGGTACCTGAAAAACCAAATTATCCATTAAATTTATGGAGTATTATGAAAAATTGTATTGGTAAAGATTTGTCAAAAATTCCAATGCCTGTCAATTTTTCTGAACCACTTAGTATGCTTCAACGGCTTACAGAAGATTACGAATATGCAGATATTCTTGACAGGTATATTTTCAATTTTTATTAAATTATTATTATATAAATAATATAAACAATATTATATAAATAATATAAACGAAATAAATATTGTATTTTTTAACAGGGCAGCAGAATGTAAAGATATCTGTGAACAAATGGCTTATGTTGCTGCATTTACTATATCTAGTTATTCTACAACTGCTTCCAGAACTGGCAAACCTTTTAATCCTTTATTAGGTGAAACGTATGAATGTGATCGCGTTGAAGACTTAGGATGGCGTGCGATTTCAGAACAAGTATCTCATCATCCTCCAATGTTAGCACAACATTGCGAGGGCCGAAACTGGCGTTGTTGGCAAGAATTTACTATGGCATCTAAATTTCGTGGGAAATACCTCCAGGTAGATTTTATAATTTACTTTTAAATATCTTATAATATTTTACTAAATTTACAATAATTAATTTTCTAAAAATTATTATAGGTAATACCATTAGGAACTGCTCATCTTGAAATTGATGGTACACACCATTACACATGGCGAAAAGTTACTACCACTGTACACAATATTATAGTAGGAAAATTATGGGTTGATCAAAGTGGTGATACAGATATTGTGAATCATAAAGAAGGTATCAAGTGCCATTTGAAGTACACGCCCTATTCATACTTTTCGAGAGATAGTCAGCGTAAAGTAAAAGGAATAGTCATGAATTCAGACAATGAAGTCAAATGGGTAGTACAAGGTACATGGGATTCGAAAATAGAAATCGCTCCCGTGATTAGTACATCTGGCACACTAGATAATCCAATATACAAAACAGGGCCTTATATACTCGCCTGGAAACGTCGTATGCCTTGGTAAATATAAAATAATTAAAGAAATAATTGTTAATAGTTAATAGTTTAATAATTTTGAATATATAATTTAATTATGCATTACATTAAAAGGAAAACATGAATTTTTACATATTATAATATTTTTACTTTTATAGTGAAGATAGTGAAAAGTATTACAATTTTACCGAATTAGCATGTCAACTTAATGAACTTGAAGAAGGCATAGCTCCTACAGATTCCCGATTTAGGCCTGATCAACGATTAATGGAAAATGGTGAATGGGACAAAGCGAATGCAGAAAAACTTCGATTAGAAGAAAAACAAAGAGCTTCTCGACGTGCACGGGAACACGAAGCTGAAAAAGCAGCCGCTCAAGGTATAATTAAATATATTTCAAAATAATTAAAGAAATAATTGTTTAATAGTTAATAGTTTAATAATTTTGAATATATTATAATTAAAAATTTAATTTATATTAGGTTTACCATATGAAACTTATGAACCTTTATGGTTTAAGAAAGAGCAGGATCCATACACGGACAGTCTGTGCTATGTATACAATGGTGAATATTGGGAATGTAAGAGTAAAGGTGATTGGTCACGATGTCCAAACATATTTTAGCTTAATATATAATTATATCAATATTGTGACCGTCAATATACAATGCAGAAGTGTTTGGATTTATTTTAAGTGAAGATAGTTGATTTTAGAAATCACTGCTTCTAAAAAAATGCTGACACGATATGACATGATATAGTGGGATTGTTAGGAGACATGATTTAATCATTATTTCTTCCAAAGAACTGGTCGAAGTGGTAGAAGATGGCATTCTAATTTAAAACTAGCGTTTTTATAGTATGTCATTATCTCCATTCTCCTACATATCCTTTATCTGTTTTTATTACCGCTGCATCCCTCTCTTTTATTCACTTTTCTAAACAACCAAAAACATTTGCGTATAATCCACATGGCCCAATTAATGCTTTGCATACAATATTTGTACAGATTCAAAAATTTTCTGTATTTTTTATTTGTTTTTATTAAGATAAATGTGCCGTAATATTTTCACTAAAAATTTAAATACGATTAATAAGCAAATTTATTAAAATTTTGTGAATTCAGTTCATAACTGGAATAGCATATATAATAAGATAAATAATTTTTAACAAAGAACATTAATACATTACAAATTAAAACCATAATGGGAATTTAAGTTAAATATGAAAACTTACTTAATACAACTACAGTATTCGTAATTTGTTTCAAACAAATTTAGATATATTTAAATATTTTTATTTTTAGAAATGGAACTGAATTTATAAGTTCCAAAAGACCGATAACAGCAACTTCGAAAAATTGCCATAACTTTCTGATATTCGATTATTATATATACATCGCGAAAAGTACTTACATAGATTATAAAATGTATTTTTGATGCTTGACGCGATGCTAAAAATATCTAAAAAAATAATTGAAAAAAACTTTTAGTAGTATTGCTGAGTAAATTATAAAAACTATTCGCGTTGTATGTGACTAAAGCCTTATTGAATTATTTAAAGTAGATATTGATAGGTAATACATTTTTACATATTGGTTATTTACACGTATGGTGCGGCCAGACTGTTCATCGACTGCCACGTCTTAACCTTTGCACAAAAAATGGGATAAGAAGCGGCATTCGTTTATGTTAATATGACAATCTGCAACCGCTATGAAAGAAATGTTCCTGCAGATAAAATGTTCATAACAACGAGAGAATTCAGTATGTTGAGATTTGATCTCAATGATTCATGCAAAAATGGTAGTTTTACTAGTAACATGCGACAAAATAAGAAAGAAGAAGCAGATAATATAAATGGATATGCTTCCAAATTTCTGCAATTTTCCGTGCAGACGTAGAGAGACTCTTGAATGTTCCACAAAATATTGACTGGTTATCTAACCAGCCTAATTACTATACACTCCGTCGAGCTAATGTTACAAAACATAATCAATATTATTACGGGAAGAGCGTAAGGAGAATTTAAAATCATGTTGAAGGGCTTATAAATTGTAGTAAATTCTTTTCTTTTATAATTTTTTTAAATAATGCTTCAACACAAGAACATTAACATTCGTTAAAGCCGAAATCCTTTTCTCCAATTACATTATGTAGACACGCACACATTCATACACAGGTACAAACCGCGCGAATGTTGCGTACGTACGTACGTACGTATGTATGTATGTTGTATGTATGCGTGTTTGTATGTATGTGTGTGTGTATGTATGTATGTATGTATGATGCATGCATGCCCGTATGTACATATGATAATTAATAAAACCCATTGTATATCCCTCTTATGAGCACATCATACAGTTGTTCCGTTCATAGTATTTGTATATTGACAACTACATATTTCAGTCTGTATAGGGCGATATTAAACGGAACATCTAGCTTGCAACCAATGTTTACAATGATTGTTATAATTAAGTATTTGGCTGTATTATAATTTTAATAGTTGATTATAATCGGATATATCTGTATACATATATATAAATACAAATTAACTATAAAATAAATAATTTAAAGAAAATACAATAAGACGGATAGAACAGATGTTTGAATTAAGTAGTGCTTGTACATTAGCTATTCGTGTGGAACGATAAATACAATATGCTTCGCTACAAAATCGAAGATATCTTCGTAGCATTCACATAATTGCCGTTTGGCATTTCCTATGTAACACCCGTTGGTCGCACAAATGGTGCAATTATTTATACGATAAATAACCGTAGTATTTTGTTCCATTAAAGAAATTGTATTGATTTATTGTAACAAATTAAAAACAATCTTGAACGGGTAATATTTATCATTGAATATTTCATTATTATCCAATGATCAGTCCATTTACCTATCATTACTGATAATCATGATTTGATATCTCGCGCGCACAATGGAATACACTGGAATGTTATTCTGTCTTGTTTTAATTTGCTTTTTATATTATACGCGCAAAATTATTATTTTTCATATGGCTTTTATTATGTTTTTATTAGAAAACAAAATCGATTTTCATTCAGCATGAAATTGCTTGCTATTAAAGTTATTTAAAACAAAAAACGGTAAAATGTTTGCTCGAGAATAACGAATTGCTTGTCAAAAAGTTTTCTCTTTCATTCCGTATTTCTTGCAGCTAGTTCCACATTTCAATAAAACATAGCATCATTGGTTTTATAATATGTGAATGAAATATATGTTATAAATTCCTTGTTTATCGTTAATTAAGAAGAAAACAACGTGAAAAGATACGTTGATATTTTCGTTTCTACAGTTTTACCGGATATTCGGTGAATTTAACCGACATGCGCGCGACGTTGGTAAAGAATGACGTCAGGCGTAGTAATACACGCTAAGAGCGCATGGCGAGTGGAGCGTCTGCAGAGGCTGCGCGAAGTGGGAACTGCTTTCGATTGTTGGCGGGCGCCGCCATCTTGGTCAGTGAGCTTGCGAGTGGCTGTACGACGAGGTGTACGTATTTCGGTGAAACGAGTATTTGGTGCGATTTCCCTGAAATCTTTCGTCTACCCGTGAAATCCACGAGCATCCAAGATGTCGGAACGGGAGGACAACGTTTATAAAGCGAAATTGGCTGAGCAAGCGGAGCGCTATGACGGTGAGTACATATTTTCCGGGAAAAGGACCCGGCCTGCGCTAAAATGAAATCCATGAAATCGACACAAAGCATTGCTACAAAGAGAAAGGAGGTAACACCGCTCTCGTGACGTGCCTGCTATACGATATCGTGGGATATATAACGAATTCCTCCGAGAATCGAGAACCTCAAACTGGGATCGTGTCTCATTGGATCTGTCAAAAGTTTATGAAACGTCAAATATGACTAATCCATACACGATAGTGGTCAAGTAGCCGGTTCATAACCGGTGTTTCTTTATTAAAGGGTAGATTTGTTCTTAGATTTTGTCACTTCTGTACTAGAGCCTGTCAAGATATATGAACTCTTGAAAGTTTTCATAAAGGATTGGTTGAAAAGCTATGAAAAGGTTTCGTCGTTTTCGAGTTATATTGTTTCATCGAAACAAACTAGTTAACGCCGAGATAGCGTTGCTAGGCGTGCTGTGTTCAGTACTTTACGGGGTCTCTCGGCAGATAACCAGACAGTCGGTCCTTCACCGACATGTATGACGCATAGACACGACACGATACTTACCAATCGCTGCCGGGTTACTCCTTAGACACGTAGTAACGCGTGCTCTGCTCGTGGCATTTGGCCTTGAAAGCAGAGAGAAATTATTTGGTCGATCAACCGACCGATCTATCGGATCGACAATAATATTTATTGAAATTATCTTTGTATTTTTTCTCATAGTTATTTCCTACATTATATTTTCTCAAATATTATTTCTTCTTATACGGTACGCATGGTTAATAATTTCGTTTGTAGAAATTTTTACGTCTGGCGAAAGCGACGCGTAGTGGGGATTCTCGTCTGGTAGAAGGGGAAACCGTCAAATCTTTTCGTTTTACGAACCTCTCATTTTGCATTTCTCCTTAGATATATTTTATGCATAACACGCTTTGTCTTGTTATCAAGCTTGCAAATCAAGTATATAGCATTTGACATTTTACGGAAGCAATGATGTATCTTCATGTAAATTTTTTATAATCATTCAGTAACTCGTATTTCTTACAAACTTGTTTCGTTTTATGTATGAACTAATTATATATATATTTGAATAAGAGACCTATTCATGAGCTTCAATATTTTTTTTCAAAAGTTTTTCACATAAAAGAAATTATTTCAATGAAAATTCTTTATATATATACTCTAACTAAATAATAAAAATCATTTCATTTTGAATTAAATAAATGCATTTTACATATTCTATTATACTATAAATTATGAAAAATTATATTATCTATTTTTAAAGTTGGAAGTCAAGGAAGAAATTAATCAATGAATCAGCAAAAAATGATTTTTCTATTCATCTCATAAAGCTGTTTTTTTTTTATAATTTTACTATTTTCATCTCTGTATGAACATATTAATCAAAATAAATATATTAAAGGATGGAAACACTCGTACATAACTGGTATATAAGAATTCTAGTTGAAATGATTGCTAAATGTGAAGAATGACAGGATAGAGAGAGAAGAGCTGTAGTGATTCTCCCGGGATGAGGAAAAGGAAGGGCGGTGGGCAAATTTGAGGGTTGTGAGAGGAAGACGGAAAGGGGAAGAGAGACGAAAGGACGACGGGCGGGCGAGATTATGAGTGGAGGGTGAGAACGGGAAGGGGTGAGATATATAGAGTAGAGTGGGGGAAAAGAGGGGCCATAGCAGAAGGAAAGTATTGATCTGCACTAGCTATCCTACGTTTCTGTACACCTCCGTCACCGGGTATACCATGTTCATAGTATGTAATTCGTGCCATCTAGAACCGAATTTGAGTCTGATCTCTTCTCACAAATGTCATTTTGAAACCTCTGTTGATTTTAGCCAATGATGATAAAAAGAAAATATAAATTAATTCTTTCTTTAATTTAAATATTTATATATTGAATTTATACGCCAATTTTTTTCATTTATGTTGCTTAAATGATAGTAATTAATTAATTTATTTTTTCTAAAAGATAAATTTTTTTTTAATGAATCGAATTATTGTCGATATAATTTGATATAGATAAAAACTTAAAATTTTGAATTTTATTTATTTTGAAAAGAAGATTTCAGTTGTAAAATTATCTGGAAACTTATGTCCATCTTTAATCGTTTTTCATTTAATGCCCGTAATACCTTTTGCAACCATCTATCGATTTTATCGAGGAATCATAGATTTTAATGTCATCTAAAAATATAATATATTAATTTGTTAATGTTAATATTTATTTATGATAATAAGTATTTATATTAAATAAATAGAAAAATTATTGATCATATTCTTTTCCCAGTTATGAGTTGTAGACAAACGTGTCATTTGATCGATATCATTATTCCCAAACATCGTATATCTATAGATAATAAGTACATAATATTAACTTATAAAGTTCAAGGGGCAACAGATAAATATATGCCTGTATACCAATTTTCCTCGTGAAGAATTTCTTTAATATCTCAGATGAAACTAGATAATAATGTTTTCACGCACAACGTAGCGATATATTAATAAGATCAATAGATCATTTCCAATTCATTACTTTGCCATGATTACATGCAATTTATTTGGGTAAGTTCGATACTTTTATTAAAATATATAGTATACACTTTTTCATTGTATAACTTTCATAATTTTATCCTTCAACAAAATTTCGATAATTAAATTAATTTTATTATATACTTTGTTGTACATGTTATTATTCTGTAATTACTATTAGATTTCAATTTAATGAGAGTTTGTCGATGGCGACGCTTTCGCCGATGTGATTTTATAGAAATGGTCGAGGCGATGAAGAAGGTCGCCTCGCTGGATGTGGAGTTAACCGTCGAAGAGAGGAATCTTCTTTCTGTCGCTTACAAAAATGTGATTGGCGCGAGAAGGGCATCCTGGAGAATAATCTCCAGCATCGAACAAAAGGAAGAGAACAAAGGTGCCGAGCGGAAACTAGAGATGATCCGTCAATACCGATCTCAGGTTGAAAAAGAGCTGAAAGACATCTGCGCCGATATTCTCGGAGTTTTAGACAAACATTTGCTCCCATGTGCATCTACTGGCGAATCGAAAGTCTTCTATTATAAAATGTAAGTGAACGTGGCGAATTTTGATATAGATCTTCAATTAGGAAATTACTTGTTTTTGTATATTCTTATTTTCTATTCTCGAAGTATATTTAGTGTTACCAATTGTAAAATTGCATAAGTATATTGTAAATTTAAAAATATAGTTTGAAAATCAATAATAAATCAATAATAAATTAAAGTAACTTAAATTAAGAAATAACTAATGGAACAGTTTTCGGTCTAATTAACTTTTATATTATTTTCTGAAATAGTTGATAATGTTGCCTCGATAATTACATGAATATAATCATTTCTTAGCGGATATGATTTATGAATAAGCGCAGATTCCATTTCATTGTATTCGTATAGCAAGAAATACTAAAATATAAATCTAGCAAAATTTTATTTAATATGTAACAAAATTTATTTATTTTACTACATTTACAAATAATCAATATTTATATTTATAATTTATTATATTATGTTGAATATCAATATTTGAATATCAATATTTTTTTTATATACAAAATGAATGGAAGAAATTAGTAAAAAATATTTATAATATGTTAAAATATGTTATGATTTAAAAAGAAATTATGTTTATTCTAATAATTCTATAATAGATTTTAATTAAAGATTACAATATAAAATTGATGCAATATATTTTTAATATATATTATACCAAACTTGTTTATAGATAAAATTGTTTAAAGATAAAATTTTGACCTGTTATCGTAGGAAGGGTGATTATCACCGTTACCTTGCTGAATTCGCCGTTGGCAACGATAGGAAGGAAGCCGCAGAGAATTCTTTGGTCGCTTATAAAGCAGCAAGTGACACCGCCATGACGGATCTACCACCAACTCATCCCATCCGCTTAGGATTGGCACTCAACTTTTCCGTGTTCTATTATGAGATTCTCAATAGCCCTGATAGAGCATGTCGTCTTGCGAAGGCAGCCTTTGACGACGCGATCGCGGAACTAGACACCTTATCCGAGGAGAGTTACAAAGATTCTACCCTCATTATGCAGCTTCTTAGGGACAATCTTACTCTATGGACGTCAGACATGCAAGGAGACGGTTAGTATATCTTTTTGTAAAAAAAAAATTGCTCGTTGCGTTTAAAACGTTCACTACTACTACTAAACGGTAGAAGTTGTGTCGTACGATCAATAATATGTATTGCAGTAGCGCGATAAAATCTTCTCGTTATATATCAGATTTTTTTCACGAAATTGTGTAGAGAAGATATGGGATTGTTTTTTTATTATTTAATAAAATTTATGTATTATACAGAATAATATAAAAAAATGCAAAAATTTTTGCAATTGAAACAAAAAAAAAAAAAAGAAAATAAAGTTTTCTATCGAGTAAGATATTTTTAGTTACATTATTCACATATAATTCTGTATAATGATTTTGAATATTATTGAAATGATGTATATATATATATAATTATATATGGGTAGAGAATTATTGGTTTGTGATTTAGAGTTCGAGGCTGACCGCGAAAACGAGGCTGCCGCGGTTTCCACCAATGCTTGAACTCAGGCATCCTTTCCATACGCCCTTGCATTATAAAGTCACCTGGTGAGCAACTCGATCGATCCTTCTCCTCCTTCCTTTTTAAGCATTTAGATCCTTCAATTAACAGGGTAGGGTTGAAATAACTCACACCCAACTTTTAATTATGATATTGAATCGACCTCACCCTATCAGTTTGTTATATAATTGATATTTTATTATCGAATCAGAACACGTTTATTAACAAATTTTCTTTTTATGTTACATAGGGGAGGGCGAACAAAAGGAGCAGTTGCCAGATGTGGAAGATCAGGACGTATCGTAACTCTAACTGTAGTGAGTGTTATATTGCGTATATAAAACTGAAAAAACACAAGAAAGCAAAAAACTCTTAATAACTTGTAAGCAAACTTGTAAGAAAACAATTCAGCAGGTGGCAGTTCGGGGTGGGAAGGGGAGATCTTTAAACGATTGCGTGTTCTAAGCACGCACGTACGGTTATTCCAAAAAAAAAAAAAAAGAAAATACAAAAAATGAAAAAAAAAAAAAAATATCATTCGAAATAATACACACTAAATTACGAAGCGCGCAGAAAAGTTATAAAATAAAAGGACATACTCATTACGCAGTTAATAGAAAAGCTGCAAGAGCATGTAGAGAGGCATTACTCTTTGCCTTCTTTGCGTATCGAGAAGAAAAAAAAGATGCTGTCTCTTTCAGTGTACGATGTCGAGAACGTTGAGTTGGCGCCGACTGATGCAGCGCGTAGTATATATTCAATCATAGTAATAAAATCAGAAAAACACGGAATGAAATAAATAAATAAATAAAAAAAAAAAAAAAAAAAAAAAAAAGAATATGCGCTAATCCAGTCGGAATAAACTCTCATTTTTGTTTGCTCCAGCGAGTGAGAACGAATAGCATTATCCTCTCCGCAATGTTTTATCAATAACGAATTAATGGCTCGACGTCGATCGAAATGCATATTGTGTTCGTTTGTTTTCACCCCACCCCCAATCTCCTCCTCCTCGTCCTCTTCCCCGCTTTTTTACTGCGCGCATCATTATTCTCGCATACTATGATAAATAACGATATTATTAATGTATGCGTGTAAATCGAGTGTAAATCATTCGTTTATCTAAGGGATAAACTCGTCTCCTCCAGAGCTGGAGTTACATGGTTGATCGACAACTGACTAAACAGTTAAGATAGAACCATGCACCTCCATCTCTGTTTTCTGTATAAGATATTATGAATGTACTTCCGACGAAGTCCCAGTTTGCAAAGCAAGTAATTTCATACATCATATACATAGGTTTTGAGCATGGGTTCTCTCGTATAGTTACTTGTAAACTATTCAAGAACATGTGCTTACCGCGAAAGCGATGTACTTAAAAAAAATGCAATAACATCTTGTCTTACGTTAAGTCTGGCTTTCGCAGTATCAAATTTTATGTTAAGTCGAAAACAAATTCTTTTAATTTTGTGAGTAAGAGAAAATATATATTCGCTATTCTCGTCGTAATAGATATTCTTTCATATACCAATCAGTTGTGTCCCTCTGTGACGAAAGAGCAATCTGATCTTCGAAAGAAGGCTGAAAAAAAAAAAAAATCATGGTTGATAAGCATTTTTAATACGAAAAAGATAAAAAAAAGGGAAGAGAAATTATGTTTCGCAGACAGAAAATAGCAGGAAACAAGTAACTACCTAGCTAGTCTGTAATTGTGGTTGTACTTTTTCATACGCCTCTTCTGTAAACTATAACGATCGCTGTGGTATAACAAATTACAGAATAAACAATTGTATCCCGACTCGTTCTTCACCCGCGCTCACTTTCGCTATTATCACTGTCCTCGATTCCACTATATCTTAGTTGATCTTAGCCATACGTCCATTCACCTTTTTATCGATGAACCGTTCCGTCGATTTTAGCTTACGAAAAAAAAAAAAAAAANNNAAAAAAAAAAAAAAAAAAAAAAGAAAAGAAAAATAAACGGGAAACATTCCAATAAAAACGCTAAGAGAGGCTTCGTTTATCATTAAAATCCGTGAAATTTGCGCATTTTGAATAAAATAGTTTAGTAATACAATAGAATTATTTGTTTGTCGAGATAAATATTATTGGTTGAAAATTTGTGCGATATAAACAAATTTTTAAACATCTTTAAGTGCAATGTTTTCTGTATTCAAGAATAGAATATTAATATTTTGCTTGATGATTAAAAATGCAAAGAAATTATATACTGCATATTTCAATCATAACATTAAGTTTCTGCTTCTCGCTGTGTTACATATTTCAAGACCAGTTTTTTTCGCGATTAAAAAATATCGAAGATGTTTCGTGAACCGTGTAAGCGTGCAGCAAAAAAGCGAGGTTTAATATTTAAATGAAAAAAAAAAAAAAAAAAAAAAAAAAATAATGAAAGCGAAGAAAACGCGCAAATGAAAAATTGAGAGCTCTGCCTAGAAATTTTTAGTGTACATCGTGCCCCTGTATTTAGGTATTAATAACACAATACAAATTGATAATCATGTTATAAAATAAAGTTATAAAGAATAATTCAAGTAATATCAACGGCACCGTAAGTAAATATATACGATTAATCTTAAGATCGTAAAGTTAGGATATCAAAAAAAAACAATTCAATCGACGCGAATCGTTCAAGCGATAGTATGGAGAGAAACGAACAGTTTAGAGAGCGTATTTCATGAAATGAAACGCAAACATTATCCAGAAGCGATTTTGATAATCGCATGAAAGACATGATGGAAAATGATGGAACCATAGAAGGAAGATTGAAGACCAATGGAAAGGTAGAGAAAACATTGGAATCATCGGATATATATATATATATATATATAAAATTTACGTAAATGCGTAATATGTGCACAACTATGCGACAAATCTTTGAAAAAAAAAAAAAATAATAATAAAAAGGAAGGATACAAAAAATTTAAACTTCAATAAAAATTTGTTAATGGCATAACGAACGTGGCATGAAATAAATTCCAAACGACGATAAACTGTGAGATACCTCATCCAATTACTTGCTTACACGATGGATTAAAAACAAGATGAAGTAGCCCAACGTGATAACATTATTATTATTATCGTCGATGATGTAGTGTATGATTCATAATGAAATGAAAAAAAAAAAAAAAAAAAGTAAATGTAGAATGTTCTCGGTTAAAATAAAATTGGGTAGAGACATTGATACTACCTGAATTTTATTGTAGAATTATTATGAAAGAATATAGATAATCGATGTATCGATTGAAACCGCTTTTATCCTTTATTCGTTGTGCGTGCTTAGTCGATTTTTATAAAAAAAAAGAAAAAGGTAAAAGAAATAATACATACCACATACACATCTAATGTTTCATCTCTAGATGTATTACTTGCTCTTGTCTCTCTGTATTTTAAACATTAATTGTGTATCTCTTTCTCTTTTTGTAATTATCTTCAGATCATTCCATCTTGTCGCTAACCCAATTCACGAGAGCGAATAATTAGACCTAGATATCGAAATTTATCGTCATTTGGAGGGGATTAAATCTGTCGTTTCTTTTATCGGATTCGTATGCGTTCTCACGCTCTGTACTACTATTATTAACTATTATTGCAATCAATGCGATTACACTGGATACGATCTTTTTCTGTAAAACCACATACACACACACATACACACATACGTGAAAAGCTACAAATAAAATAATTACAACTCTCTAAATGTTTCCACGAATCTTTATTATTAATATTATTATTATATTAGTATATGAGTCAATAATTATAATTGAATATAATTTTAAAATATTTTTCGTATTTTGTCATCAATTTAGAATGAGTCATTCTCAAAACCAATAACAGTAACAATTCTAATTAATAAATATTACAGAATCGTAATTTAATATATTAAAAACAAATTTCATATGAGTAAAATTTGAAGACATACTTACAGGCTGTAAAATTATAAAAGTAAGATTTTGAGCGCATTTTGTAAAATATAAGCGTTTTGTTTCTACATATTAAGTTACAATTCAGTAAAAAAAAAAAAAAAAAAAAAAAAAAAAAAAAAAAAAAAAAGAAAGAAAGAAAAAAAAATTCGTCATACATAAAATTCTCTACTATTAATAAATTATTCTTATTCATCATATTATATTAGATAACCCGATCTATGTATCGATTAATCAATAACAAATCATAACTTAATTTACTAAAATTGCGACCATGTTTCTGATATCAATTACATAATATTCCTCTAATCTACGATTATCGACTTCTGTAACGCAGTCATAGATTGTGAATTGTTATTTTTCATATCTAAGCTCGATAATTGATTATCTTTTGCAATAATATTTTCACGAAAACTTGACGAGCTCGACAATAAACGTCTTGGGCCACGTTTATTAATTTCCACCTGTTTTAAAATTCGCCCTAACGTGTTTTCCGAATTTTTTGTAATCGGAGACAAACTGAGACTTGGTGCTGTTCGCGTTTTAATTATTCGTCCGCTCCTTGGAGACCTTATGATTTGATCAGTCGTTCTGCGCCTGGCAGATTTTAATTTCACACTACGTAACATGTCTAAGGAAACGACGGGTCCCTTTGGTCCTGGTATCGTGTTTCTTCTATTCTCCTGAAATTAACATTTTTCTTCTTTGTATATTTTAATTTTAATATACATATATATATATATATAATTCCAAGAAAGAAGAAATTATATTTGATATTGACAAATTAATTTTTTCAATTCATATTGAGAAATTATATTTATTTTAAATTAATTTGGAATAACGTAATTCTTTAGCTGCGCTGAAAAGAAAATCTCTTTGAGAGATTTCCGATTTATTTTTCATAGATATATGTATCACCTTGGGATTTTTAAATAACCCCCTAGTGTTCGGTTGAATGGCAACGAGGGTTGAGGAACAATTGATCAGACTGAAAGTTGTATCGCTTTGATGAGTGGCCGATTAGTAAAGTATTTAAAATACTTGGAAAAATGTATCTTTAGCAACATAATTCTCTTACGACTTCAACGAATCACAATAAGAAATCCTAACATTTTACACAGCTTAATTCTAAAAGATTTAACAATAATTTTTTCAAATAAAACAATTAAAGTAGAATAATCTAGAAATTTCAATATAATACATATATAATAATAAGACTTTTATGCTAAAATATTATAAATAAATATTTATAAATAACTTGAAATTTATGATTCTCACTCACGTATTCGGGTTGAATAAAAGTATTGTTATAATAAAAATATAACAATTGGAAAAAGCTATGGAATTTTTTAAAAATTTCTTTTGTTAAAAGAAGTCTGATCATCCCAAGTTAATTTGCTAAATATTTTATGATCTTTTCAAACTGAGAATCAACCAATGCCTTGAACTTTAGCAAATTTTAACTTCGAAAGAACAGAATTCTTCACACCACTTATTCATATACTCCAATTAATGAAGTGTCGTGTATAATAGTCCTCGGATTTACCTTAAAGTTTTGCGGTGCTTTTTTTAGGGTCACCTTCAGCAAATCCTCGACAGTTATAGCTGGCCTATTAAACAGTGGTGTCGAGCACTTTCTCGAGGGCGACCTGATGTTTCTATCATTATTTGGAGTTGTTGGTGTAATCGGCGATTTATGCGACGAAATTTGAAGAAATGATGATTGTGGTGGTGGAGGAGGAGGTGGGGGAGGAGGCGGTGGAGGAGGAGGAGGAGGAGGAGGAAAAGCAGTTGATGGGTTGGATGATATTAAAATTGATGGTATAGGGGGTGGAAGAGATGAAGGAGGTAGTGGTGGTGGTAGTGGTAGTGATAGTAATTTCTTCGGAGATTTCGATTGCATGTTCTTCAGCATTTGGTGTAATGTTTTCAATTCTTGCATCAGCGTCTCGTTATTTCCGGTCAATTTTTTACTTAGTTCTTGTATACTGATAACTTCTGCAGTTAAAGTGGCAATAGCGGTTGAATTACCTGCACACACCTGTGATAAACAATAATGCTAAAAAAATTTTAATTACATGACTGGATACATGGAATTACAAATCAGAATTAAGAATCAAAATATATAATGATATATCGATATTTATATATCATATTTTTTTTAATTTTATGAAAGCATGAATAAACATGCTTTTATGGATTTTCAGAATTTTTTAATTTTGTAATCCTTTTATTACATAAAAATATAAATAATATAATAATGTTATAAAATAATTTTCGTAAAATATTAAGTATTAAATAGTATACTTGAGTAATTTGATCAGACAAACAGGTAATTTTCTCCAAAAATTTGTTGATCATCTGTTCATTCTCTGAGCGTAATGTCATAATAACTTGATTGAATTCTTTCATTTGTTGTTTCGTTGATATAAATGTTGAAACAATTCGTTTAAAATTTCCATAAGCCTGAAAAAAATATTGTATAGATAATTAAACATAGATAATTTTTTAAACAAGCAACTACTTACTTCTTTCATTATAGTTGTTATTTTTTTTATCATCCAAACGCAAAATAGAACAATTTTAGCAATAGGTTTCTTTGCAAATTGAAGTTTTTGAAATGGCTTGCTTTGCTGAAAACTGGTACACGTGCATTTTTTATTAAATTCAATAGGCTGCAAAATAATAATTAAGTTCTATATTGTTTCTTTCTTTTTTATATGATAATAATAGTACTTTTATCATATTTAATTATAAAAGCAATATATATTTGAATAACTGAAAAATATCTTAATCTTAAATAAATCAATAGAATTAAAGAAATTAATGAATTACTTCTTGAAAACATCTACTACAGCTGCCAGAATCAGACATAACTGGAAGATCTAAAATCAAAGTGGTCGGGGATTCTGAACTGTTACTGCTCCAAATGGTTTTTGTGATCGTTGTATTCGGGCAAAAATAATTCTGAACATTTTTTTTCTCTATTTGCAATAAATCTGTAACTGTAGCGGAATCTACAGGTTTTTGTGATCCTTCTGTTTCCACTTCGTCATCAAATTTAAGCGTAGTTCGACATCTTTTCGCAGGAGGAGGTGAACCACTGCAAGGAGTGATCGATCGAGCTCTAATCCTCGTTGTTGTACTTTTCGCGTCTGTGTAATTTTCCCCATCATCGATTTTATTATTGATCTTCTCATCTTCTACGGAATAATGTTTATTGATACGTTCATTCGAAGTCTCATTTGATGTTAATGACGAAGAAGTATAACAAGAAAATGAATTTGTTTGAACACGATTTCCAAAGAATTCTTGATTTGCAGTTCGTACTTTAATGTTACTTAAATATCGTAAATTTGAAAGAATCTGTCTGCACTCACTCCAATTATTGGATCGATTTCCATCTGAATCTTGCTCAATTTTTTCATTTATTATTTTAACTCTCGTATCTTGATCGTGTTTATTCCATTTTTCTTCGTATTGGCTTACAGAGTCGCATGTAGAAATCATTGTTTGAAATTCGTCTAAAAAATTATGAAATTCGTGAGATTCTGATTCTGAATTAAAATTAGAAAATTTTGTTGGTTCTGAGCTATAACCACAAGGAAGGTGATAAGATGATTTTGGAGAACGAACTTCAGTAGTGGTGTAATCGTTAAATTTAATCCTTGAAAAAGATTTTTTCTCTTGCAAAAACTTACAATTGTTCATTTCTAATTTTATTTCCTGATTCATCGATAGAGTTTTGTCTAATAGAAAGCATTCTTTCGCAGATACATCGATATTCTGTTTAAACAAATTATTTACTTGACTTATTTTAGCCACTTCCGACTCTTTTTCACCATTGTTTTTCTCTTCTGCCTCATGTTTATCTGATCTATTTAAATCTAATTTTATTCGACGAAATCGTGGTACGATTTCTGGACTTAAATCATCATAGTATGATAAATCAGGTTGTTCAGATTCGAATAATACAGATTCTGGGGATCGTTGATGCAAAAGTCGTTCAGATGATCTCGACTTTTTCTGTAAAGAAATATATTTATTTTCTACATAATCGATCTCGTCAGAAGTATCTGAATTTTGTAATAAAGTTTCTTGAGATTGATATAAAAATTGTTTGTGTCGAGATCGTTTGTGATTTTTCCGTTTTGACATTATAATTTTTATTCAAATAATTTATTCGATATTTATACGAAATCCAGCTATTCTTGTGGATTTATTAATTAAGAAAGTAACAACATTCTTAAGAGAAATTCTTTAAAGAACACTTTTTAAGCCGAAAAATTAACATACGCAATGGAAAACACAGTATTTTCAAACTTGTTTCGTTAATTTATACAATGAATATGAAACTGTTCTATTTATTCGTTATATATATATATAGATGACATTGTAATAAAGGTTGCCTATTAATGTTTATTTTGATTTTAATAGAGGAAATAGTACACTAGGGAATTTTTGTTATCGTATAATTTACGATTCTATTTTCTATTAAATTAATAATAAAAAAGATATAAATAGAATAAAAAATTTTTTTTATTTAATGAAATTTATTTTCAAATTACATGTAATATATTGCAATTTTGATATTCCATTCTTTTAAAATGAGATAGTGAATATCCAATTTTTTATATATAATTTTTTATATTCCATTTCTTTTAGAACAAAGTAATGAGTATTTCTTTTCAAATACTGCTCTATTTCATATTTCTTATTGCTCTATCAAATTATAAACGAATTTAAATCTTTACATCTATAAAATATGTATTATATCTACTGATTAATAAAGAATTCGCCGCTTCTATTTTTTAAATTTTTCGCGTACAACGCGAATTATTTTCATAATCAATATCAAAAGTTATTGAGTTTTATTTGATATTGTTTAATATCCCCTAATATTTTAATAATTCATGGAAATAATTTAATGTTCATTTTTTCATAAATTGTTCTCCCTTTTCAACATTCTTCTTGAGCTCTGGGATTGCTACATTTAACAGTTCTTTTTCATATGCATTGAGTTTTTCGATACCAAGATTCTTTTCAATTCCTCCTTTCTAAAATTTAACTTGAATATAATATTCCATTCCAATATAGATATACCATTGATTGATAATTATACTTACACCCAAAACAACAGCTGTTGAGAAATATTTAGTGTCACAAACATCAGATTTGACATAACAGTATTCTGTAATACGTTCTCCATTAAGTGCTTTGATTAAAGAAAAACCAAATCGTGCACCAGCATATGCCATTGAAAGAGTGGCAGAACCTGTGCCAGCCTTGGCTTTAACAACTTCTGTACCAGCTTCTTGAATTCTCATAGTAAGAGCTTTCACTTTATCCTCTGGAAAAGAAACTGAGGGTTTAGTTTGTGAAATTAAAGGAATAATAGTGACACCACTATGACCACCAATAACTGGCACTGAAACATTTTGTGGATTCAAGCCCTAAAAAAAAGTATTATATATATGTAAATCTAAGATGTTATATAGAATTTAATTACTATATTTTTTACAAACTTTGGCTTCGGCAATGAATGTATTTGCTCTGACAATATCGAGAGTTGTTACACCGAATACTCTATTGGGATCGTAAACGCCAGCTTTTTTCAACACTTCACTGGCAATTGGCACAGTACTATTAACTGGATTTGAAATAATGGCAATAAAAGCTTTTGGTGATACTTCTGCTATAGCCTGAGTAAGATCTCTTACTATCGAGGCGTTTGTAGAAAAAAGATCATCTCTAGTCATTCCTGGTTTACGTGGAACACCGGCAGGAATTATGACTACCTATATAAAAATACAATAAATAAAAAATTTTGTTAGTTTTTTATTAATCTTAATCATTTTTAATAAAAAAAAAATTTAATAAAACAGAAACCTGCATTCCTTTAAGTGCATCTTTTAACTCTTCTGGACCAGTATACGCTTTTACTTTTGCCGGTGTATCTATGTGTGACAGATCAGCAGCGACACCTGGTGTATTTACGACATCATATAACGATAATTCGGTTACAAGAGGAGATTGTTTCATAAGTAATGAGAGCGGTTGGCCAATTCCTCCGCTTGCTCCGAGAATTGCAACCTTGGCATTGCACTAAAATAAAATATATCAAAATTAAAATAAATATAAAATATATATATGAGTATGTATATATATATATATATATATTTGTAATGTTTTCTTATATATCTCTTATATATATTTATAGTTTTTTCTTTCATGTTTTGAATTTCATATAAAAATTTATGATATTAAAAATTAAGAAATATTTGATCGCTAATATTATTAAAAATGTTCACGATTGCATAACTGTACTTCACGTGTATGTTGTAAACTATACTTTACTGATACATACAATGTTTCAATGTCATTAACTAATCTGATTATAATCTTTAGTTTAATAAAAAATCAAATAAATAGTGCAAACATAAACATAATATATTATTATTGGTAAATATAATATTTAGTAAAAATTTAAATTATTAGTTAAAAAAAAGCTTACTTTGGCGCTGGTAGATAGTCGTTTCGCTCCTTGTTGAGTAACATTCAAAATAGGTTTCAAATATTGTGGCAACATATTCTCTATGACTTTCTAGATACAGATGTGAATGATTTCAAATTTCGAACGCTCAGTAACCTTTCAAAGACACTCCAATGACCTCAATGATATTTCGCACTTGTTCTCTGCCGTTCTCTCCAATCGTTTAACGTGTCGTAATACGTATACGATCATGCGTACTCTCGTATAGATAATATACGCAAGACTGAAATTACTTATAAAGTATAGCGCGGGAATTTTGAAAATTATTATCCATTATTATGCATTATTTTTTTTTAATCATTTATTCTGTTTATATACAAATTATATTTATGAAATATATTGAAAAATATGTAAAATATTTTTTATATATTTTATTACTTTATAAATATCATTTTATTATTTTTATATATTTTCTTAAATTGCATTTTAAATTTATCATTAAATTTAAATTTATAATTAATTTATAATTAATTTAAAATAAAATATTTTATATTTGTATCTTGAAAATATCTAAAAGAAATTATTTTTCTTATATAATCTTATAATTATATTGTTAATAAGTAAGTAATTCATTGTTAGTTAAAAATATAAAATCAATTAATTTAAAGTAAAATATTTTACATTTTTATTTTGAAAATATCTAAAAAAAATTATTTTTTAATCTTATAATTATATTAGATAGTAAATTAATAATTGATTCAATTATATTTTAAATTCATTGTTAAATAAAAATATAAAATCAATTAATTTTAAAATAGGATATTTTACATTTGTATCTTGAAAATATCCAAAAGAAATAATTTTTTTTTAATTTTATAATATAATTTTATAATAAATAAGTACGTTTACTAGTAATAGTAACTTAATTGTTCGGTTCTCATAAACTGAATGATACATGAAAAATTTTTCAGGATTATTTCTTAAATTTGATCTAAATTGAACTATTAAAATACTTTTAATTTAAATTTAATAAAATACCAAAAAAATGTGTTTAGAAAATTAAATTTATATTTGTATTAAATAGTTGCATTAATTTATATTGATTCAAGATGTCAAATGGTATGTTAAGGTTAACTAACCTATGAAAAAACGTAAAATATAATTTCTTTTTTATCTATTTAAATCAAAAGATCATATAATTATATTACTTATTTCAGAAATAGAGACAAGTTTATTAATAATAATATTAGATGTAAACCCAGTGCAAAGAATTATAAAACAAGAAACAAGAATATTGACACAATGTTTGGATTCTACTATTGTTTTTGCCAATGCTCATTTAATGCAGTCATCTAATAATCAACTTGCAGTAATAGCATGCCATAGTCATGGAGCAAAGTTTTTATATCCTTGTGAAGACGCATTAGAAATTAGGCAAATTGATGGACAATATGAAAAATTTACTATGATTGAACTCACTGTAAGGCAACAATTACAAAAAGTTATCAATGAAATTACTTCAAATAAATTATTAAGTGGTGAAAGTCTGATATCTGGAGCATTGACTATGGCATTATGTTATATTGCAAGGTTGGAGAGAGAAAAGATTGCTGGTGAAAAATTATATTCAAGAATTCTTGTTATCACAGCAAGTAATGATTCAGCAACACAATATATGAATTATATGAATATATTTTTTACAGCTCAAAAAATGGTTTGTAATTCTTTTTATTTTAATATTCATACGATTTAAATTTAATACTTTAAATACAACTTTTTTTTAAATAAATAGGGAGTAATATTGGATGTATGTAGTTTAGATCAAGAATTAACCTTACTTCAACAGGGTTGTGATATTACTGGGGGAAATTATTTAAAAGTTCCTCAGTTAAATGGATTATTACAATATTTATTGGTAAGAAAAAAATAATTTAATTATTTTTAAATATTTTATTAATTGTGTAATTAATTTTTAGTGGATATTTTTACCAGATCCAAATGTTAGATCAAAATTAGTATTCCCACCACCTGTAAAGGTAGATTATAGAGCAGCATGTTTTTGCCATCAAGAATTAATTGATATTGGCTATGTATGCTCTATATGTTTATCAAGTAAGAAAAACAAGTTTCTTATATATCATTACATAAATTTTTTGATAATAATACTAACAATTTTTTTTAGTATTTTGTAAATTTAGTCCAATATGCACAACTTGCCAGTAAGTATTCTAATTAAATTTAATTTATGATAATTCATATTTTTTATATTTTAATAATTATTTAATTATGTTAATTATTTCAATATTATTTTTCTTTTTGCTTTTTACAGCACAGTATTCAAAATGCCAGGACCTATACCTATAAAAATGAAGAAAAAAAAAAAGAATGTAGATATTGTTCATTAATTGTATTTAGAATTAAGGAATTTTTTTTTTTCATAAAAATATTTATTAAAATAAATATTTATTTTCTCATCATAAATATTTTTTACTGAAAACATTTTATAATCCTTTATTGTAATGTTATTGTTATATTTGTACATATATTCTTTCACACATTCCTTGAAATCTTTATATTTATAAATATGATTTCATTAATTTTTAGATTCATAAAACTTAATGATTAAAACATGTTATTGCATGTCCATGATTAATGTGTTTATGAATTAAAAAAAAAATAAATATTGAATTTATACAATTATTATTATACAATTATTTTTATACAAAATCGCAAAAATAGATGGAATTATAAATATATAGCTATAAAAATAAATTATATTTAATAAAAAATTAATATTATTAAATAAATAAACATTATTAAATATAAATATGATATTAAAATAGAAATCTGATAATTATCACAAAACACAAATTCCAATTGCGAGTAACATTTAGAATCGTAAAGAAAAGTAAAATATAAATATTTGAGTTAGGATTAGAATGAAAAATAAACATAATAAACGTATTTCTTATAATTAATAATAATTATATTATTATAATTAATAATAATTATAATAATAATATTTTTTATAATAATAATAATAAAATATTCATTACTCTCTTTACACCTGTTTCTTTTGATTTCATAAAATCAAAGATTTCTTCTCATCTTTAATAATGGAGTTCTTTTTAATATCTTTGTATTATATAATTAGTAAATTTATCTTTCTCCTATATATATTATAGTATATATTATAGTAGTATATCATAATTTAAAATAACATTATTTCACCTAATATCATTATAATGGAAATATTTTTATTAATCAGATTACTTTATTCTAAAAAAAATATTTTATTTTTTTATAAGATAAAAATATTCAAACTTATATTTAAAAGACTATCAATGCAATGATTGAAATATTTAACCAAATAATCTGGCAATGTTTTGTATTAATTTATTAGTACCAGTATGAAATGCTGAATTTTTTGTACAAATACCAAATATTTATATTTCCAGAAGTATTCATCCTGATAAAAATCTTGAAATTTTTAAATAATAAAAAAAAAATAAAAAATAACTTACTTGCAATTATCATAAGAATTGTTTTCTATTTAAAAATCAGCAATTATAATATAAGCATATAATAAAAGCAAAATATTTCCATCTACCAATATTCAATCAATTGATTCCGCAATGTTTATCAATATCTTCTTTTATTGATATTTATCATTTAATTAAAAATTTATTTTTAATTTTTTTTAATTTATTTTATACTTTTAAATACTTTTAAATACTTTTCTGCAAGTATTAATAATATTGACAAATTCATATTTATCAATTGTTTATAAACTATAATTTTTTATTATATATTTTATATTATATAATTTTATTTTCTATTTGAATTTTTATCGATTTAGAATTATAAAAAATAAGATAATTAGAAAAAATAAAAATTATTATAGAAAGAAAATTAATGATGATAATATTATTTAATATTAATATAAAATATATAAAATATTAAATTTTTATGAAATGAAGTTAACTGAAAATAATTGTATTTATATATTGTTAATATGTTATAAAAATTTGTTTCATTTATTAAGATTGGAATGGACAAACAAAATGGTAAATATTTTTTTATAATATAGTATTCTTTATTTTTTTCTAAAAATTTATAATGTAAATTTTACATAGACTCTTAAAGCAACAACTTGTAAGGAAGCTATTCAGCGATGGGAAGAAAAAACAGGTCTAAGTGCCAATGAAGAAAAAGAAATTATTTTGTCCTTTCAGTGGCCGCCGATTGAAAAAATGGATAATAATTTAGCAGCACTTGCTGCTGTAGAGTTAGTAATATTTTTAAAATTTATTTAGTAAAAATATTAAAAGTAAAATTTTTCTAGAAAACTATCTCTCTCAACAAACATGATAGAAAAAATCACTGGTATCAGTGCATTAAAAAATTTAAAAATTCTCTCTTTGGGTCGCAATCAAATTAAAACATTCTCTGGATTAGAAGCAGTTGGAGAACACTTAGAAGAATTGTGGATATCATATAATCTAATCGAAAAAATTAAAGGTGTAAATGTACTAAAAGCATTAAAAGTGCTTTATATGTCGAATAATCTGGTAAAAGATTGGGCTGAATTTAATCGTTTGCAAGAAATTCCGCTTCTTGAAGATTTATTATTCATCAATAATCCTATCTGTGAAAGTATGGATGTAGAATCTTGGCGCAGCCAAGTAACTAGAAGACTACCAAAACTAAAAAAACTCGATGCTATACCGGTTGTATAATTATTTAATTTAGTTGTTAAATATACGAAATGACAGTAAAAATTTGAATTTAATAAAAAATTTTGCAATAAAATTGCAAAATATGTATTTACACGGTATAGTGTACATTTATAATACATTTTTTTTTATGTTTGAATATAATACATTGTATTGACATTATCGACATTGCCTTATTTTATAATTTTTTGTGATGGTCAATTAATAATCTTCAACTTTCATGTCATTTAATCCCAGTTCTTCATTCTGATCAAAACTTCTTTCATATTTAATAATCTTTAAACCATTATCTAAACCTTCATTAGAAAGGCTTTGAATGTAACTATTACCCGCTGGATCATCTAATACAAGTGTAATCTTTCGCTTTCCTTCCAAAACTTCATTTAAATGAGATATGAAAATTTCCATTCGTTTAACAGTTTCAGGATCACTACTATCACCGCTAAAAGCTGTTGATGATGATAATTGTTCTTTAATAGCTACTAAAATGCCTTCTATAGTAGTAAAACGTCCACCTAAAGCAGCAGGACCAATTTCTAATTCCAATTCTGGTATTTGCATATGACAAGTTTCAGACTTTAACAAATCACGATTGAAATCTTCTCTTCCTATGATTGTTACTTCTATTTTCACTCCCATGGGTTCAATACCTCCACCACTCTTAACTTCATTTGTTCTATGTCCACAAGAATCACAAACTGTTGCCATAATTACAACTTCCTTAAAATGTGGAATATCTAAAAATTGAGTTAAGAATAAACATTTTTTTTATTAAAAATTTTTTATTAAAAATTTTATTAAAAAAAGAAAGAATATATATATTAATATAATATTAAGTAACACAAAAAGGATACTGGTCAATTTCATATTAGTTTCACATGGGCAATTACATTCTGGACAATTTGTTCGAAAAGAAAGTACTTCTCCCTCAATTTGTTCTAAAGTATATTCTCCTTCCTTTATGGGTTTTAACAAAGTATCCTCTGAATTTTCAGTATAAATTCCTAAAATATGATCTTGTTCTTTTGTTCTTTTAAATTGTATTATATTATATTCTTCATCTTTTAATGGAGCTTTTGGATTTTCTACATAACATTCACCTGATATATCTTCAAATATCATAATGAAAGGTTGTTCTAAAGATTTAAGTTTTTTTAGTTTCTCAAGAAATTCATCAATTTGAAATGCAGCAGTTGCATACTTTTTTCTTCTTTCAGGTTGATCTTGTTCTAATCCATTAATAGTTCTTTCTATAATTCCTTCAATTGTTGTGATCTCTCCTTTTTGTGATCTAGAAGGAATTTCAAAATCTAAAGATGGAATTTTTATACAGGTATAATCTGACTTAACCACTTGACGATTCAAATCTCTTGCAGTTTTAATTTGTAATGTTATTCTAATTCCTTTTTCTGCAATTTTTCCACTATTTTGTATTTCATTATTTTGAAAACCACAATGTTCACAATCAAAGGACATTACCACAATATCTTTATAATATGGGATCTTTGTTAACAATAATCTGGTAACACCCTGTATTTACAAAATGATAGATTAAATTAAAAATATTTATTGTTATTTATTATATATTCACAATAATACCATACATTTTGTTCACAATTCATGCAGAGACTTTCTATCTCTGTCGTTTCTGGTTCTGGATCATCGGCCGTCAAATTGCGAAATATTGGTTTCGTTTTTTCTTCAATATTTTGTTTCTGATCTTCTGCCATTTTTTTGGTTATATAGAATTTATATATCAAATTTATATAAAAAATCTATTTCAAATAAAATTGAAATAAATAAATGAATTGTATTAATTAATAATTTCTATATCTATTAAATTATATATATTTTTACCTGCTAAATATAATAAATTTTTAAACACAATTTATCATTCTTCAAATCTTTCGAAAACATAATGATCCAAATAAATTCACATTCACATGTGTAAATTATTTATTCTGATCTAGAATCTCTAGATGAAGAAGTGTAGGCAATCCTAGCTTATTATATTACTAAAATTTTAGAATACATGTATTTGTTATAGAATTTATAGAATCTGCATAATTAAATAGTTATTTTATATGTTATTATATTAATTACAATACAATAATTGCATTTATGCAAAAAATGTGAAATATTAAAATATTATATAAAAATATTACCATTTACATAAAATATTATACTTTTATTAAAAATATATATTATTTAATAAATAAATACAAACAAAGAAAATTTCAGTAATATCAAATAATTACAGAATTTTTTTATTCAAAATTGATTATAAGCAAAGTTTTGAAATATCACACTTTTATGTTTATAAATATTAACTAACTTCATGTATATCATTTTGAATGCATTTAAAACAGTACAATGTAATATTGGATTTGACACTTTGAACAACAATTTTATATTTTTTTAGGTAAGACAATTTAAATATTTTACTTTTCCATAGCTTTATTTATTAAAATTCATTACTTTTCTAATAAATAAAGTTGTTCAAATTGTTTCAAATTATGATTCTTAATAATGATTCAATTGAATATATATTAACAATACTATAACCTGTAGTATCGCAAAACAAAATATAAATGCATTACAAATTATCAGATTTCTATAATATTAATGTATTATAATTATAATATTTCATTTGTATATAGCAATACACGTGGAACTTGAATAAAAAACAGTATTTTTCATGATATAAAAGGAGCATATAAGAAGAAGTTTCTGAAGTACTTTAAGCTAGGGAAAAGTCGAAACTCAGCATTCTCAGTGAGTGGCGCGAATCGCCGGCTGAAAGTACAATGGTTAAGCATAGCCAATGGCCGCCGCGAATGAGTGTCTCGTGTCGGTTCGGTTGCCGCTAATCGATGTGTTACTACGTGTTTTCGAAGTGTGCTAACTTGCATTCAACTCGATTACGCGTAGCATTAATTTGCGATCGATAATATGTCGAGTCGGCAGTCAAAAAAAGAAAAGGTGCGTTCATTATGTTGCATATCGCTCCTGTCTCTAATCATGTACGTCTCTTATGCGATCGGTACTCACATACGTGAAAACAGAGTTCCTTTGACGAGGAAAGATCGCGGGCACGCGCGCATTTCAGAGAAGGAAAGAAAATATGTGTATGCATGAAAGAGCGAGAACGAGTAAGCAAGCGAGTGAGTGAGAAAGACAGAAAGACAGAGACAGACAGACAGACAGACAGAGAGAGATGGAAAAAGAGAGGGTGACAATGACAGGGATAGGGATAGGAGAGAAAAGAAAGAAGGGAGAGTAAAGAGAGTACGGGGAAACAACCCCGGTAGCCGAGACACCAAAGGGTGTAGCGTGATTCTGATTTCTTGATATCCATTTCGTTGGTACATTTTCTCAAGCAAACGTTTTGAAGAACCTAACAATGGTACTTCAACTAATTCTCGTTTCCGTTGTGACATCGCAAGTGCGAGTTTGTCGAGCAACCGCGTCTTGAATGTGAATTGTGCTGTCGTGGCATTGTACGCTAATATAAGCGGTGCAATTTACTTGTTTTGTTCCAGGATGCGACGAAGATCGGGAAGGACAAAGGAAAGAATGGCAAGGATGTTGAGACGAATGACGAGGTGAGGTTATATCGTCCTTCTATGTCCTTCTTATTGATGTGACTCGATTCATTACGAATCGACTTCTGTCATCATCAATTTCTCCTATTATAGATTTTCCTTTCTATATTTATACATGTCATGTATTCAATTCGTTAAAGTTATCAAATGTTGACGTTGTGTCATTTCTTTAGAGAAAAGACTTTATTTAACAGTTATTCTTTAAAAGTGATCTAGTATCCATCTTCGACACTGTGCTACCTGAAATGTTTTTCTTTTCAAAGTCATGTATATGTGTGTATTTTAAATATATATTTCTCTGATATAATTTTTCAGTATTTTTTAATCAAGTTTATATTCTATGATTAATGTTTCTAAAATGATTTTAAAGTTATGAAAAAATGCTACTCGACACAGGTGGCGCTTGTGTGTGGACTTAGTTGATAAATAGAAAACGATATAAACGAAAGATGTATTACGAAATAACCAATATTTTTTTACTCTTTGTTTCTTATTATTTTTGTTATATAGAGTATATTTAGATTTTCTCATTAAAATAATATGTGATTACAAAAATAATCAAAATTATAATTATTTCCCAACTTTCTTTTCAATAGTAATTTATGTATATATGATCATTTACGATATAAAATCCAAGAATGATATTAATGTGCAATTATATATGTGCAGAAAAATATTTATTAATTATTAAAATTTATGTATTAACTTGCAATTTGTAGAATATATAAATAATTTTCATCATACATTGATTGATATATTTAATTCTTTTATATGCATCTTATATGTATATATATATATACATATATATTATTACGATTTTTATTTTTTCGATTTGTTAAAAAGCTTGTATAATTAATTTTAATTAATTAAATGAACAATATGATATATAAAATTGATATAATTCATTTTAATGATAAGTTTATTTATGATTAATAATGATAAGTTTAATTTATATGAATAATCAATTAATAAAATAATAATAAAACATTATTGAAATAAGATATTTATGTAATAGTATAATAGTTCACTGAAGAAATTATATATTATGCCGCATTATTTAATTATTGATTGATGATTGATAATATAAAGATTTACAATCGATTAATTATTATTTATATAAAATATAAATAATTATTTCATTTATATGATTTATAAATTTAATGTAGACATATCTATACTTAAATAAATCGCAATTATTATTATTTCATAGTTAATGATATTTATATAAATAATATTATTTATACATATTAATTAATACATATTAATTTATACATATGAATTGATACACAAATATACATATAAATATACATATGAATTGATATACAAATTTTTTTGAATTTTTATACTTTATAGCATTTTTTTATTTTATCTTATCAAGTGTTTTCTTGTTCTTGTCTAATAAGGTAATAATTATTAAAAAATCAATCAAAAATTTGTAAAATGAGGTAATAACTATCAAAATTATATGCATGTATTTTCAAGAATATTCAATCAATCACAAAAATATTTAATAGGAAAAAAACTAATGTAACATATTAATAGACCGCAATTGTTGTAGAAATAAGAAAAGTTAAAATTCATTTTACACAGCCAAGAGGGAATATTTATATATAATTGATATGAGATACACTTCCTCAAGGACTACACCATCAACTAGGTTCCTCAAGAAGAAGTTTTGTGATTGGTGTTGAAATCATTCTTGCATCTTTGTCAATTTTTTTATTTTACATTAATAAATACAACATATTAATAAAAGTGTTACTATGTACTATATATATAATTGTCCAAAACTCATTCACAAGTAATTGTCATCTTTTTTGGCCACTAGAGGATACTCTAAATGGACATCAGCTCAGATGAAGAGTCAAGACCAATAGTGCATAAATGGTTTCAAGATCAACCACAAAACTTCTTTCGAGGAAGCCAGGCATTAATGCTACGTTGGAACAATTGTATTAAATGTAATGAAGATTACATATAAAGACATACATTTGCTTTTAAGAAACAATCTTCATTCATCAATTTTGAATTATATCATGACATATAATGGAATTTTATATAAATAAAGTATTTTCTGATTAATTTATTTTTGTATAGTTCAAAGAGTATAATATTCTTTGATAAAAATATTATAAAAATTATGTGATCCATTAAAACAAATAAAATTGTTTTATTTAGATACATATTTTTATTTAATGTTGTTCCATTGTTGAATATATATGATTAGATTATATATATAATATTATTCTATTTAAATATGGAAGTTCCTCTTTTAACAATAAATTATTTAATTATTGCTTTACATATGCAATGTTATGCATATATAAAGCAACATATCAATTTGTTTATATTTAATTTTTATTTTTATAGAATTTTTATTATTTTTATTGTTTCTCTTATTTCATAGACGAATAAGGTAGCAGGAGGACCACCGGTAACTACTGCACCACCGCCCCCAACGTTGATTAATAAAATTAAATATCAACCTGGAGGTCCTATAATAAAGAAAGATAAACGACAAAGTAGCTCAAGATTTAACATATCGAAAAATCGCGAACTTCAAAAGTTGCCGCTCCTATCTGGTAAGTCGTTATATTTTGAAAATTTAAAAAATTACATAATTAGAATAATATAAATAAATAATAATGCACTGGCTAGAATTGGCATAGTTAGAATTGGTTGTTAAATATAAAGGAAAAATAATTTAGTCTGAATTGTAAAAATATTTATTTATTTTATCTTTTTTTATAATAATTAACAACTTTCATCATAGAAAGAGTTTTATCTGTGATAAATTTATCATTCACACACACAAAATTCACAAATTCATCAAGATTTATTATTTCTATATTTTAAAGCGAACCATAGCTTTCTTCTCAATAATTGTCGTATAAAATATCGTATGATTTATTAATATAACAAATTACAAAAAACGGAAACAATAGTAATAAATTGTAATGCACTTAATGAATGAACCGAAATATAGCAATATTTATATTATATTATATAATTACTTTATATAATTTAAAATACAGTGCATTTAATCATTTTGAATAATTTTCATTTCATTTTCAATATTCAAAAATGCATTTTAGATGTATCTTAAAGTGAAAAAAATAAAAAATAAGAAAAGTTTAATAGAAGAAATCGGTATATTATTAATGTTTATGAAAGTTATAATAGCTAATATTGTCATTATTATTAAAAATTTCATAAAAAATAGTAGCAAGATTTAAGATTGAAGTAGATTTTAGAATTTTTCGTGAGATAAATTTTGATTTTAATTTATCGTCAAATATATTGTTTATTTATCTTACATCTTAAATGTTGATTTAAATGATCTTAAACTTATTTTTATTATTTTAATGATTTGTTTATTTACATTTTAACTGGTAATTAGAATTGTGAAATATTTAAAAAAATATATTTTATAGAAAAAAAATAAAATAATTAAATGTAGTATTGAATAATACAAATAATTAAAAAATTTTTTCTGCTATCGATCAAATTAAGATTTTTATTAGAATAACAGAAATCTGTAAAAAAATTGGTCTATAAGTAATAATACATAAGTGATTGATATATCGAAAATCTACAAAGATTACATTTAGTTATTACATCTTAAATGTTGATTTAAATGATCTTAAACTTATTTTAATTATTTTAATAATTAATTATAATTAATAATTAATATTCCATAACATTAAATTTAATTCGTTCATAAAAATAATATCATTGTAGTATATCGCTTTATTTTTTATGGAAATTTTAATTTTTTTTTTTACATTATTTTAAATATTACATTTTTTTTATCAATTAGTTATTTTAAAAATCACTCTATTTTTAAATTTATATATTGAATTGATATTATATATTTGTCACATACATAATTCTAAAAGAGAATTAATTAATTACTTTTGTTTTTTTAATCCCGATCACATAGGATTGCGAAAGCAGCTACGTCAGAACGTATCGATTGTAAGGCGCGGTGGTTCACGCATGCGCATGTGAAGCATTTGCGATTCCTACTTTTTTAACGTAAACAGTCCTTTCTCGTTCAAACGGCCTTTAGTATCAACGATATATTTTCTTTACCCGAATTTGTAACTTGTTTCTTTTGATTTTTTTTTATATCTACTTAAAATCAAATAATTGAGTAACGAAACATTCGGAAATCTTTGTGCATTTATATCATCATACAGATATATGCCCGGTTCTTACTCGAAAGAACGGTCAGTTACGTCGAAGCAACAGATTGTTATGTGAACAAGGAAACCGGTGCGTACAGGAATGTAATTTACCGTGAACAGACCGGAAAAAGAAGATAAATTCCGGTGATAGATATCAAAAACGTAGATTGTTGAATAATAAAATGGTTCATGTGGATGGATATATTCCTTTTTCAACTGGTGGCCTACCGAAAAGTCCAAGCTTCCACCAGGGACTTGCCTTGGCTACTGCTCTATCTCGAGAATCGAATAAACCTTACTTAACCAACTTCACTTCGCATTATCAACCATTACGACCCCTATTAATCGGTAATGAAACCTCTGAAGTTTGCTTCTTGTTTCGATTCTCGTAATTGTCAAATAGATGAATGAATATGTATTTAGGGAAGAATAAAAAGGATATGCATAGATATTTATTGAGAACAATAGAAAAACAATAGGTTGTATGAAATGAGCTTAGATTTGAATGAGAGTGAGTGAGTGAGTGAGTGAGTGAGTGAG